TCCTCTATACTCTTGTAATTTTTGTGCACGATAACAATACTTCCTCTATACTCATGTAATTTTTGTGCACGATAACAATACTTCCTCTATACTCATGTAATTTTTGTGCACGATAACAATACTTCCTCTATACTCATGTAATTTTTGTGCACGATAACAATACTTCCTCTATACTCATGTAATTTTTGTGCACGATAACAATACTTCCTCTATACTCATGTAATTTTTGTGCACGATAACAATACTTCCTCTATACTCATGTAATTTTTGTGCACGATAACAAGACTTCCTCTATACTCATGTAATTTTTGTGCACGATAACAATACTTCCTCTATACTCATGTAATTTTTGTGCACGATAACAATACTTCCTCTATACTCTGTATACGAGAAAGTAAAAAACTTGACAGGAACAGATATTACCCTGACAAAAGTAAAAACAATAGATGGTCGGAAAAGGGAGGCAGACTTGTGTAAAGTATTTATAACATTAGCCTAAACACAAACAGGATCTTATGAATATTGGTAAAATATAACGCATAGGGTAACTAGTACCACACGTATTTTTACCCGGTAGAGCATGCTAAACTAAGCCGACAATAACTTCAAATAAATTTCTGTTTCAAGTATTGAATTAGCAAAGTTTATTAAGAAAAAAATATGTATTAAGCTGTAGAATGATTAGGTCAGCACCAACAAAGGTATAAATGGTAGGCTAAACATTACGTCGTACAGTTACAAAGGTAGGCTAAACATTACGTCGTACAGTTACAAAGGTAGGCTAAACATTACGTCGTACAGGTAGGCTAAACATTACGTCGTACAGTTACAAAGGTAGGCTAAACATTACGTCGTACAGTTACACAGTTACAAAGGTAGGCTAAACATTACGTCGTACAGTTACAATGGTAGGCTAAACATTACGTCGTACAGTTACAATGGTAGGCTAAACATTACGTCGTACAGTTACAATGGTAGGCTAAACATTACGTCGTACAGTTACAAAGGTAGGCTAAACATTACGTCGTACAGTTACAAAGGTAGGCTAAACATTACGTCGTACAGTTACAATGGTAGGCTAAACATTACGTCGTACAGTTAGAAGGGAGGCTAAACATTACGTCGTACAGTTACAATGGTAGGCTAAACATTACGTCGTACAGTTACACAGTTACAAAGGTAGGCTAAACATTACGTCGTACAGTTAGAAGGGAGGCTAAACATTACGTCGTACAGTTACAATGGTAGGCTAAACATTACGTCGTACAGTTACAAAGGTAGGCTAAACATTACGTCGTACAGTTACAATGGTAGGCTAAACATTACGTCGTACAGTTACAAAGGTAGGCTAAACATTACGTCGTACAGTTACAAAGGTAGGCTGAACATTACGTCGTACAGTTACAAAGGTAGGCTAAACATTACGTCGTACAGTTACAATGGTAGGCTAAACATTACGTCGTACAGTTAGAAGGGAGGCTAAACATTACGTCGTACAGTTACAATGGTAGGCTAAACATTACGTCGTACAGTTACAAAGGTAGGCTAAACATTACGTCGTACAGTTACAAAGGTAGGCTAAACATTACGACGTACAGTTACACAGTTACAAAGGTAGGCTAAACATTACGTCGTACAGTTACAAAGGTAGGCTAAACATTACGTCGTACAGTTACAAAGGTAGGCTAAACATTACGTCGTACAGTTACACAGTTACAAAGGTAGGCTAAACATTACGTCGTACAGTTACAATGGTAGGCTAAACATTACGTCGTACAGTTACACAGTTACAAAGGTAGGCTAAACATTACGTCGTACAGTTACAAAGGTAGGCTAAACATTACGTCGTACAGTTACAAAGGTAGGCTAAACTTTACGTCGTACAGTTACAATGGTAGGCTAAACATTACGTCGTACAGTTAGAAGGGAGGCTAAACATTACGTCGTACAGTTACAATGGTAGGCTAAACATTACGTCGTACAGTTACAAAGGTAGGCTAAACATTACGTCGTACAGTTACAAAGGTAGGCTAAACATTACGTCGTACAGTTACAATGGTAGGCTAAACATTACGTCGTACAGTTAGAAGGGAGGCTAAACATTACGTCGTACAGTTACAATGGTAGGCTAAACATTACGTCGTACAGTTACACAGTTACAAAGGTAGGCTAAACATTACGTCGTACAGTTACAAAGGTAGGCTAAACATTACGTCGTACAGTTACACAGTTACAAAGGTAGGCTAAACATTACGTCGTACAGTTACACAGTTACAAAGGTAGGCTAAACATTACGTCGTACAGTTACAAAGGTAGGCTAAACATTACGTCGTACAGTTACAATGGTAGGCTAAACATTACGTCGTACAGTTACACAGTTACAAAGGTAGGCTAAACATTACGTCGTACAGTTATAAAGGTAGGCTAAACATTACGACGTACAGTTACAAAGGTAGGCTAAACATTACGTCGTACAGTTACAAAGGTAGGCTAAACATTACGTCGTACAGTTACACAGTTACAATGGTAGGCTAAACATTACGTCGTACAGTTACAAAGGTAGGCTAAACATTACGTCGTACAGTTACACAGTTACAAAGGTAGGCTAAACATTACGTCGTACAGTTACACAGTTACAAAGGTAGGCTAAACATTACGTAGTACAGTTACACAGTTACAAAGGTAGGCTAAACATTACGTCGTACAGTTACAATGGTAGGCTAAACATTACGCTGTACAGTGACAAATCTCACAGACTTAAAATCTTTGAGTTGACATTGAACTGTTCGATTTTATGATCTTTAGCCTATAAAGTTTACTTTGTTCTTAATAGAATACTGATCGACTGGTACTCATTCAATGCATATAAATAAAATGGCCAATAACACTAAGATGATAAAAAAAAAGACGAAATCAACATTAGAATGATAACGATAATGAATCTAATAATAGGATGATAAAGATGACCAAGCTAACATTAGGATGATAAAGATGACCAAGCTAACATTAAGATGATAAAGATGACCAATCTAGGATGATAAAGATGACCAAGCAAACATTAAATGATAAAGATGACCAAGCTAACATTAAGATGATAAAGATGACCAAGCTAGGATGATAAAGATGACCAAGCAAACATTAAGAGGATAAAGATGACCAAGCTAACATTAAGATGATAAAGATGACCAAGCAAACATTAAGATGATAAAGATGACCAAGCTAACATTAAGATGATAAAGATGACCAAGCTAGGATGATAAAGATGACCAAGCAAACATTAAGATGATAAAGATGACCAAGCAAACATTAAGATGATAAAGATGACCAAGCTAACATTAAGATGATAAAGATGACCAAGCTAGGATGATAAAGATGACCAAGCTAACATTAAGATGATAAAGATGACCAAGCTAACATTAAGATGATAAAGATGACCAAGCTAACATTAAGATGATAAAGATGACCAATCTAGGATGATAAAGATGACCAAGCTAGGATGATAAAGATGACCAAGCTAACATTAAGATGATAAAGATGACCAAGCTAGGATGATAAAGATGACCAAGCTAACATTAAGATGATAAAGATGACCAAGCTAGGATGATAAAGATAACCAAGCTAACATTAGGATGATAAAGATGACCAAGCTAACATTAGGATGATAAAGATGACCAAGCTAACATTCAGATGATAAAGATGACCAAGCTAGGATGATAAAGATGACCAAGCTAGGATGATAAAGATGACCAAGCTAGGATGATAAAGATGACCAAGCTAACATTAAGATGATAAAGATGACCAAGCTAGGATGATAAAGATGACCAAGCTAGGATGATAAAGATGACCAAGCTAGGATGATAAAGATGACCAAGCAAACATTAAGATGATAAAGATGACCAAGCAAACATTAAGATGATAAAGATGACCAAGCTAACATTAAGATGATAAAGATGACCAAGCTAACATTAGGATGATAAAGATGACCAAGCTAGGATGATAAAGATGACCAAGCTAGGATGATAAAGATGACCAAGCTAGGATGATAAAGATGACCAAGCTAACATTAAGATGATAAAGATGACCAAGCTAGGATGATAAAGATGACCAAGCTAGGATGATAAAGATGACCAAGCTAGGATGATAAAGATGACCAAGCAAACATTAAGATGATAAAGATGACCAAGCAAACATTAAGATGATAAAGATGACCAAGCTAACATTAAGATGATAAAGATGACCAAGCTAACATTAGGATGATAAAGATGACCAAGCTAGGATGATAAAGATGACCAAGCTAGGATGATAAAGATGACCAAGCTAGGATGATAAAGATGACCAAGCTAACATTAAGATGATAAAGATGACCAAGCTAGGATGATAAAGATGACCAAGCTAGGATGATAAAGATGACCAAGCTAGGATGATAAAGATGACCAAGCAAACATTAAGATGATAAAGATGACCAAGCAAACATTAAGATGATAAAGATGACCAAGCTAACATTAAGATGATAAAGATGACCAAGCTAACATTAGGATGATAAAGATGACCAAGCTAGGATGATAAAGATGACCAAGCTAGGATGATAAAGATGACCAAGCAAACATTAAGATGATAAAGATGACCAAGCTAACATTAGGATGATAAAGATGACCAAGCTAGGATGATAAAGATGACCAAGCTAGGATGATAAAGATGACCAAGCAAACATTAAGATGATAAAGATGACCAAGCAAACATTAAGATGATAAAGATGACCAAGCTAACATTAGGATGATAAAGATGACCAAGCTAACATTAGGATGATAAAGATGACCAAGCTAGTATGATAAAGATGACCAAGCTAACATTAGGACGATAAAGATGACCAAGCTAACATTAAGATGATAAAGATGACCAAGCTAGGATGATAAAGATGACCATGCTAACATTAAGGTGATAAAGATGACCAAGCTAGGATGATAAAGATGACCAAGCTAACATTAGGATGAAGCAACGGTTTAGTCTTTGGGCTCGTAAGGACGGTTCATGGTGGATGTAATGACTGATCTCTCGGTGATTGTGGCTCGAGGAAGCTGGTTTGTTATCTTGATGTGTTTGACGGCCGCGTAAATCTTGGGCAGGAACAACAAGACGATTGGCACAGTAAGATTTATCAGGAGAGACAACGTCTTTAGCAGAAGCTTGACCCTCTGGGGACACAAGTAACGTCTACACTTTTCATACTAAACATCTACATCTAACCACAGTACACACACAGAACCACAGTACACACACACACTCACACAGAGCCACAGTACACACACACAGGGCCACAGTACACACACAGAACCACAGTACACACACACTCACACAGAACCACAGTACACACACACACTCACACAGAGCCACAGTACACACACACTCACACAGAGCCACAGTACACACACACTCACACAGAGCCACAGTATACACACACACTCACACAGAGCCACAGTACACACACAGAACCACAGTACACACACACTCACACAGAGCCACAGTACACACACACTCAAACAGAGCCACAGTACACACACACTCACACAGAGCCACAGTACACACACAGGGCCACAGTACACACACAGGGCCACAGTACACACACACACACACTCACACAGAGCCACAGCACACACACACACTCACAGAGCCACAGTACACACACAGGGCCACAGTACACACACACTCACACAGGGCCACAGTACACACACACTCACACAGAGCCACAGTACACACACACAGGGCCACAGTACACACACACACACATGGCCACAGTACACACACACAGGGCCACAGTACACACACACTCACACAGAGCCACAGTACACACACATGGCCACAGTACACACACACTCACACAGGGCCACAGTACACACATCCTCACACTGAGCCACAGTACACACACATAGGGCCACAGTACACACACACTCACACAGAGCCACAGTACACACACAGAGCCACAGTACACTCACACAGAGCCACAGTACACACACAGAGCCACAGTACACACACACAGGGCCACAGTACACACACACTCACACAGGGCCACAGTACACACACACTCACACAGAGCCACAGTACACACACACACACAGAGCCACAGTACACACACACTCACACAGAGCCACAGTACACACACACAGGGCCACAGTACACACACACTCACACAGAGCCACAGTACACACACAGAGCCACAGTACACTCACACAGAGCCACAGTACACACACACTCACACAGAGCCACAGTACACACACAGAGCCACAGTACACACACACACACAGGGCCACAGTACACACACACACAGGGCCACAGTACACACACACTCACACAGAGCCACAGTACACACACACAGGGCCACAGTACACACACACTCACACAGAGCCACAGTACACACACAGAGCCACAGTACACTCACACAGAGCCACAGTACACACACACACACAGATCCACAGTACACACACACAGGGCCACAGTACACACACACTCACACAGGGCCACAGTACACACACAGAACCACAGTACACACACACTCACAGAGAGCCACAGTACACACACAGAACCACAGTACACACACACTCACAGAGAGCCACAGTACACACACAGAACCACAGTACACACACACTCACACAGAGCCACAGTACACACACACTCACACAGAGCCACAGTACACACACAGAACCACAGTACACACACACTCACACAGAACCACAGTACACACACACTCACAGAGAGCCACAGTACACACACAGAACCACAGTACACACACACTCACAGAGAGCCACAGTACACACACAGAACCACAGTACACACACACTCACACAGAGCCACAGTACACACACACTCACACAGAGCCACAGTACACACACACTCACACAGAGCCACAGTACACACACACTCACACAGAGCCACAGTACACACACACAGAGCCACAGTACACACACACAGAACCACAGTACACACACACTCACACAGAGCCACAGTACACTCACACTCACACAGAGCCACAGTACACACACACACACTCACACAGAGCCACAGTACACACACACTCACACAGAGCCACAGTACACACACACTCACACAGAGCCACAGTACACACACACAGAGCCACAGTACACACTCACAGAGCCACAGTACACACACACTCACACAGAGCCACAGTACACACACAGAGAGCCACAGTACTTACACACAGAGCCACAGTACACACACACAGAGCCACAGTACACTCACACTCTAACAGAGCCACAGTACACACACACAGAGCCACAGTACACACACACACACAGGGCCACAGTACACACACAGAACCACAGTATACAGACACTCACACAGAGCCACAGTACACTCACACTTACACAGAGCCACAGTACACACACACTCACACAGAGCCACAGTACACACACAGAGCCACAGTACACACACAGAGCCACAGTACACACACACTCACACAGAGCCACAGTACACACACACTCACACAGAGCCACAGTACACTCACACTCACACAGAGCCACAGTACACACACACAGAGCCACAGTACACACACACTCACACAGGGCCACAGTACACACACACACTCACACAGAGCCACAGTACACACACAGAGCCACAGTACACTCACACAGAGCCATAGTACACACACACACTCACACAGAGCCACAGTACACACACACAGAACCACAGTACACACACACTCACACAGAGCCACAGTACACACACACTCACACAGAGCCACAGTACACACACACTCATACAGAGCCACAGTACACACACAGAACCACAGTACACACACACACAGAGCCACAGTACACACACAGAGCCACAGTACACACACACTCACACAGAACCACAGTACACACACACTCACACAGAGCCACAGTACACACACACAGAGCCACAGTACACACACACTCACACAGAGCCACAGTACACACACACACTCACACAGAGCCACAGTACACACACACAGAACCACAGTACACACACACAGAACCACAGTACACACACACTCACACAGAGCCACAGTACACACACACTCACACAGAGCCACAGTACACACACACTCACACAGAGCCACAGTACACACACAGAACCACAGTACACACACACTCACACAGAGCCACAGTACACACACACTCACACAGAGCCACAGTACACACACAGAACCACAGTACACACACACTCACACAGAGCCACAGTACACACACACTCACACAGAACCACAGTACACACACACTCACACAGAGCCACAGTACACACACACACACAGATCCACAGTACACACACACAGGGCCACAGTACACACACACACACACAGAGCCACAGTACACTCACACAGAGCCACAGTACACACACACTCAGACAGAGCCATAGTACACACACACTCACACAGAGCCACAGTACACACACACTCACACAGAGCCACAGTACACACACACTCACAAAGAGCCACAGTACACTCACACTCACACAGAGCCACAGTACTCACACACTCACACAGAGCCACAGTACACACACACACACACAGAGCCACAGTACACACACACTCACACAGAGCCACAGTACACACACACAGAGCCACAGTACACACACAGAACCACAGTACGCACACACTCACACAGAGCCACAATACACTCACACAGAGCCACAGTACACACACACTCACACAGAGCCACAGTACACACACACTCACACAGAGCCACAGTACACACACACACACACAGAGCCACAGTACACACACACTCACACAGAGCCACAGTACACACACACAGAGCCACAGTACACACACAGAACCACAGTACGCACACACTCACACAGAGCCACAATACACTCACACAGAGCCACAGTACACACACACTCACACAGAGCCACAGTACACACACACTCACACAGAGCCACAGTACACACACACTCACACAGAGCCACAGTACACACACTCACAGAGCCACAGTACACACACACTCACACAGAGCCACAGTACACACACACTCACACAGAGCCACAGTACACACACACTCACACAGAGCCACAGTACACACACACTCACACAGAGCCACAGTACACACACACTCACACAGAGCCACAGTACACACACACTCACACAGAGCCACAGTATACACACACTCACACAGAGCCACAGTACACACACACTCACACAGAGCCACAGTACACACACACACACAGAACCACAGTACACACACACAGAACCACAGTACACACACACAGAGCCACAATACACTCACAAAGCTTACCTGGTGAATAATTTATCGGTTCAATGAGCTTTTCTGATGATTAAAAGACTTCAAAATAATATACTAATTGAATAGCTTTGTGAATGACTTACTTGGTTGTTGGACTGAAAGTAAGCTGGTATAAAGGCCAGCCAGATGACGAGAGTGGTGTACACACATATTGCTATGAAATGGGACTCGTTGAAGTTGTCGGGTAAAGTTCGGGTTTTGAAGGCAAAGATGGAGGACAGTACGAGCAGAATATTGTTGTAGATGAGGAATGTCAAGATTCCAGCCACCGTCCAGTCACACTGTAGCTCTACGTGCTTTTCTGAAAACATTAAATATCAAGTACTACATCAAAAATAATACACATAATGCAGCATTCTTTTAACCACTGGATCCAATAATTAATAATTATTTCTCTAACACATCACACACTTCATCTCACACAACACGCACTTCATCTACAACACGCACTTCATCTCTCTAACACAACACGCACTTCATCTAACATAACACACACTTCATCTGACACTACTCACACTTCATCTTTCTAAAACAACACGTACTTTATCTCTCTAACACAACACGCACTTCATCTCTCTAACACAACACGCGCTCATCTAAAAAACACGCACTTCATCTAACACATCACACACTTCATCTAACACATCACACACTTCATATAACACATCACACACTTCATCTAACACATCACTCACTTCATATAACACAACACTCACTTAATCTTTCTGATGTAATGTAGTCCAAAGTCTTACCTGTTCTAGTATATATCTGATCTAATGTCATCCAAAGTCTTACCTGTTCTAGTATATGTCTGATCTAATGTCGTCTAAAGTCTTACCTGTTCTAGTATATGTCTGATCTAATGTAGTCTAAAGTCTTACCTGTTCTAGTATATGTCTGATCTAATGTCGTCTAAAGTCTTACCTGTTCTGGTATATGTCTGATCTAATGTAGTCCAAAGTCTTACCTGTTCTAGTATATGTCTGATCTAATGTCGTCCAAAGTCTTACCTGTTCTAGTATATGTCTGAGCTAATGAAGTCCAAAGTCTTACCTGTTCTAGTATATGTCTGATCTAATGTAGTCCAAAGTCTTACCTGTTCTAGTATATGTCTGATCTAATGTAGTCCAAAGTCTTACCTGTTCTAGTATATGTCTGATCTAATGTCGTCCAAAGTCTTACTTGTTCTAGTATATGTCTGAGCTAATGAAGTCCAAAGTCTTACCTGTTCTAGTATATGTCTGATCTAATGTAGTCCAAAGTCTTACCTGTTCTAGTATATGTCTGATCTAATGTAGTCCAAAGTCTTACCTGTTCTAGTATATGTCTGATTTAATGTAGTCCAAAGTCTTACCTGTTCTAGTATATGTCTAAATTAATGTAGTCCAAAGTCTTACATGTTCTATTATATGTCTGATTTAATGTAGTCCAAAGTCTTACCTGTTCCAGTATATGTCTGATCTAATGTAGTCTAAAGTCTTACCTGTTCTAGTTATGTCTGATCTAATGTAGTCCAAAGTCTTACCTGTTCTAGTATATGTCTGATCTAATGTCGTCTAAAGTCTTACCTGTTCTAGTATATGTCTGATTTAATGTAGTCCAAAGTCTTACCCGTTCTAGTATATGTCTGATCTAATGTCGTCTAAAGTCTTACCTGTTCTAGTATATGTCTGATCTAATGTAGTCAAAAGTCTTACCTGTTCTAGTTATGTCTGATCTAATGTCATCCAAAGTCTTACCTGTTCTAGTATATGTCTGATCTAATGTCGTCTAAAGTCTTACCTGTTCTAGTATACGTCTGATCTAATGTAGTCAAAAGTCTTACCAGTTCTAGTTATGTCTGATCTAATGTAGTCCAAAGTCTTACATGTTCTAGTATATGTCTGATCTAATGTAGTTTAAAGTCTTACCTGTTCTAATATATATCTGATTTAATGTTGTCCAAAGTCTTACCTGTTCTGGTATATGTCTGATCTAATGTCGTCTTAAGTCTTACCTGTTCTAGTATATGTCTGATCTAATGTAGTCCAAAGTCTTACCTGTTCTAGTATATGTCTGATCTAATGTCGTCTAAAGTCTTACCTGTTCTAGTATATGTCTGATCTAATGTAGTCAGAAGTCTTACCTGTTCTAGTATATTTCTGATCTAATGTAGTCCAAAGTCTTACCTGTTCTAGTATATGTCTGAACTAATGTCGTCTAAAGTCTTACCTGTTCTAGTATATGTCTGATCTAATGTAGTCCAAAGTCTTACCTGTTCTGGTATATGTCTGATCTAATGTCGTCTAAAGTCTTACCTGTTCTAGTATATGTCTGATCTAATGTAGTCCAAAGTCTTACCTGTTCTAGTATATGTCTGATTTAATGTAGTCCAAAGTCTTACCTGTTCTAGTATATGTCTGATCTAATGTAGTCCAAAGTCTTACCTGTTCTAGTATATGTCTGATCTAATGTAGTCTTAAGTCTTACCTGTTCTGGTATATGTCCTGATCTAATGTAGTCCAAAGTCTTACCTGTTCTAGTATATGTCTGATCTAATGTAGTCCAAAGTCTTACCTGTTCTAGTATATGTCTGATTTAATGTCATCCAAAGTCTTACCTGTTCTAGTATATGTCTGATCTAATGTAGTCCAAAGTCTTACCTGTTCTAGTATATGTCTGATCTAATGTAGTCCAAAGTCTTACCTGTTCTGGTGTATTGCAGAAGTTTGACATTTGGCCTTGACACTATTAACATAATGATGCACAAGATGAGCTGTGAAAAAATTCTCTCGCTATTTCAATTGGTTAGGGTTAGGGTTAGGGTTAGGGTTAGGGTTAGGGTTAGGGTAAGGGTTAGGGATAGGGTTAGGGTTAGGGTTAGGGTTAGGGTTGGGGTTGGGGTTAGTGTTAGGGTTAGGGTTAGGGTTAGGGTTAGGGTTAGGGTTAGGTTTAGGGTTAGGGTTAGGGTTAGGGTTTGTGATATAGAAAACTATAGATGGGCAAATAGATAACAATATACAGTGTTTCTTCCAGAATTTTTTCTCAGGGGGGGGGGCACTTGCAATTTTCGGGGGGGGGGGGCAGACTAATATTTCCGGGGGGGGGGGGGTTCGGACACAGTTAAAAGTAAATATTTGCTATATAAATTCCATTTCGTTGTCGGTGGGGGGGGGGCAAGAGATATCTGTAAGAAACTCTGCATATATAAATGGGCAAATAGATAGACAAAAACATCAGACATCAGAGATTAGACTGATTTAGAGTGTCAGGACAACTGATCACAGGACAAATGATCTCAGGACAAATGATCTCAAGGACAAATGATCTCAGGACAAATGATCTCAGGCCAAATGATCTCAGGACAAATGATCTCAGGACAAATGATCTCAAGGACAAATGATATCAGAACAAATGATATCAGGCCAAATAATCTCAGGACAAATGACCTCAGGACAAATGAGATCATGACAAATGATCTCAGGCCAAATGATCTAAGGACAAATGACCTCAGGACAAATGACCTCAGGACAAATGACCTCAGGACAAATGATCTCAGGACAAATGACCTCAGGACAAATGATCTCAGGAAAAATGATCTCAGGACAAATGACCTCAGGACAAATGATCTCAGGACAAATGATCTCAGGACAAATGACCTCAGGACAAATGATCTCAGGACAAATGATATCAGGACAAATGATCTCAGGACAAATGATCTCAGGACAAATGATCTCAGGCCAAATGATCTCAGGACAAATGACCTCAGGACAAATGATCTCAGGAAAAATGATCTCAGGACAAATGATCTCAGGACAAATGATCTCAGGACAAATGATCTCAGGACAAATGATCTCAGGAAAAATGATCTCAGGACAAATGACCTCAGGAAAAATTATCTCAGTACAATTGATATGGGGAAATGCCTGTAGTATTTATGATAATTTTTCAACCAAGTTGCAAAATGACACAGGAGACGAACGTTTCACTTGAACGAAAGTTGAACTCACCTGGATGGATGTAAAAAGACATGAAAAGAAGACCATCCATGGTGGTTTTATCATGGTTATCCGCAGTTTCTTCTCATTGCGGTGAGTGAAGATCCGATGGATTCTGATCGCCTGGTTATCCAAAAAGTAGAAAGTAACTGACACTAAGTTCACGGCGTAATGTTATAATATTTTCTATGACAATAATATACTTAACAAAATGACTTTTCCTTTGTTAATGTCTTAAGTTATGTTCGACGATTTGACTTTTTCTATTCACTTCTTTACAGAAAGATTAGTTCTGTTTGAAAATGACAAATTGTTTTTCTTTTATTTAGCCAACCCATCAGTATAGAGAATTAAAGAAAATGCATTCAACTAAATGTTAACAAAATAATGTTCTAAAAATAATGTTGTTAAAATAATGCGACTCTTCAAAAGTTAACAGTACAAATAAAACTAGCAAGGAACATTAGTAGAGCGGATTCTCTTGTGTTTGTACAAAACTCTCTATTTTATAAAATACAAACTTGGTGTGTTTGTACAAAACTCTCTATTTTATAAAATACAAACTTGGTGTGTTTGTACAAAACTCTCTATTTATAGAATACAAACTCGTGCGAACATTTAAAAAATAAAATAAGAAATCCATGGGTCTGATTTTTTGCGTCAAGTGATTTCAAATTTTTGAAGGTCTACAGTAAACATACCTTGACTAGAATTGGAGCGTCAAGTGATTTCAAATTTTTGAAGGTCTACAGTAAACATACCTTGACTAGAATTGGAGCGTCAAGTGATTTCAAATTTTTGAAGGTCTACAGTAAACATACCTTGACTAGTATTGGAGCGTCAAGTGATTTCAAATTTTTGAAGGTCTACAGTAAACATACCTTGACTAGTATTGGAGCGTCAAGTGATTTCAAATTTTTGAAGGTCTACAGTAAACATACCTTGACTAGAATTGGAGCGTCAAGTGATTTCAAATTTTTGAAGGTCTACAGTAAACATACCTTGACTAGAATTGGAGCGTAGAGCAAGACAAAACTGAGGCAGTACATGAAGTATGAGAGGATACACTCGGCATCGGTGTTGCTGTTGTGTAAAACAGGTACTGTTAGGAAACCTGTAATGACCATATAAGGGCAAGTGACGGGGTTAGGATTAGGAGTAGGGGTAGGGTAGTGGTAGTGGTAGGGGTAGGGTTGTGGTGTGTTTGACAGGCATGGTACTGTCTAAATCCTTCTGAATTATGTTCGAAGCGTGTAAAAAACTATTTGTGCTGATGTTTTCCTATCATACTGACACTCAATTTGAGGTATATTTTTGTTTTGAAATTTGGACATATTTTTTAAGGCTAATTACGGTATGTCCGGCACAAAAAGACTAAACAGTAAGTACATTTTTTAGTCCATTTTACCATTTTTACTGACACATGTTTCTCTAAATATCCAAGCAAAAGCAAATGAATATCACTAACTAAACCTATGGACATGCAAGGAGATGTAGATTCACTTGTAAAATTCATGAAAACTATAGAACTCTGCTTCACCTGCTCACTGTATACCTTTTATGAATGGGTACTTTGAAACATTGATGTCTTGTGGGTCTACTAGACTACAGTAACACACTACACATGCAATGACTTCCTTCAATATATAGAGCCTTAGTTGTGTCTGGTTACGCCCTTTTCGTGAACTCCTATTCAATGTCAACTAATAAAACGCATAGGGGTCATCCATAAATGACGTCACGCTTTTTGGACCATTTTTACCTCCCCCTCCCCTCCGTCTGACATCGGCACAAAAAGCCAGCCCCCCCCCCCCCCCTAAAATGATGTCACACCTCAGCCTACAACTCCCCTCAAAATTGCAGTTGAATTTTTTTTTAAACATCGATATTGTTCTTAAATCTTGTCTAATCTCTGTCAAAATAGAGTATTTTAATCAATTTCCATTGCAATTTATTAAATCAGTTTTCTAAAACGCGAAATAACGTCTAAAATTCCTTTTCTAACGTTGCTTTTTTATAATGTAAAAGTGTGACGTCGCACCATCTGAACCCCCCCCCCACCCCTTCGTCACACGCCGTCACAAAATTACGGACCCCCCTCCCCTTGTGAGTGTGACGTCATTTATGGACGACCCCATATTTCTCATTGGACATATTTGCTATAAACACAAAGCCCGTGAACAAATACTGTCCTAAATGACAGTGTTCAGCCGTTGTATATTCTTCCATGCTCAATGCCACTGCTGTGGGTACTCAGTGCCACTGCTGTGGGTACTCAGTGCCACTGCTGTGGTATTTACTGTTACTGATGGTACCCAATGTTTCTGGTTTTGGTACTACGTTTTATTGCTGTTGTACTCAAATGATACTACTATGAATTACCAATGACAGTGCTGTAGCTACATATTGCTACTGCTTTGGGTACTCAGTGCTGAAACAGTGGGTACTGAGTGTTAAAGCCATGTGTACTGAGTGCTGAAACTGTGGGTACTCACTGTTGAAGCTGTGGGTACTCAGTATCACTACTGTGGGTACTTAGTACTGAATTTGTGGGCGCTCAGTGTCACCAATGTTGGTACCCGGTGCTGAAGATGTGGGTACTCAATAACACTGCCGTCGGTACTGAATACAGTATAATGCCACTGTTATAGGTACTCAATAGCACTGCAATGAGTACTTTTTTTTAGTACTCAACCTTACTGTATTTATGAGGAGTTTTAGGTCTATGCTCAGTATTTTTATTGTCATGGTCACTTTGAAGACCTTTCTTTGCTAGTATCCAGGATAGTGGTCCACCACCTCACAATGCTATTTCAAAGCTAAATGTGTTATAATGTACCCAGCAGCATGATCATATTATTCCAGCATCGCTCTCTCTCTCTTTCTCTCTCTCTCTCTCCATATATACAGAGGTCAATAAAACAGGTGAACTCTACTTCACCTGCCAAATGGACCGTAACGTTCTAAAGTGTCCTTTTATATAAAGGCGAACGCCATATTGTAAATCCTTGACTTATTTATAATCATACTTGAAGAAATGAAAGCTTGGCGAGGCATCTTATTTTGCTATACCTGCTTGGCACCAAAGTACTATTTGATGTCTTATTGCCGGATGTCGCGAAAACGCGACAAACCGTAATCAGCAGATAACTTCCAAAATTATTCTCATATGTGATTTATACTGTTTATATACATGAAAGAGTGAATAATAAAGCTATTATTATTTTTTGTAGTAAAAACGGACAACCTATTTAGTAATTATAATCAATGTAATTAGGCTGAATTCACAAAGTCTAAAAATTTACGATGCGCGTGAGTCAATAGAGTGTGACGTCATAAATTTCGACTTGACAACGTGACCGCTGGTACCGATACAACCGTCTGGATGTACCCAATACACAACGAACGTCTGAATGTACCCAATACACAACGACCGTCTGGATGTACCCAATCCACAACGACCAATAGCAGTAGCAGAAATGTACCTATGCGCATATGTTAATAGCATCACGTATCAATTTGTGTTTCAAATTCTACAAGTCTACCACTCTGCTGGCGTGCCATTATGTTATTTATCTGACTAACGTGCCAATGAGGGTAGCACCAACTACTAACGTGCCAATGGCGGATAGCACCAACTACTAACGTGCCAATGAGGGTAGCACCAACTATTAACGTGCCAATGAGGGTAGCACCAACCAACCCTAACCCTAGCACCAACCAACCCTAACCCTAGCACCAACCAACCCTAACCCTAGCACCAACCAACCCTAACCCTAGCACCAACCAACCCTAACCCTAGCACCAACCAACCCTAACCCTAGCACCAACCAACCCTAACCCTAGCACCAGCTACCCCTAACCCTAGCACCAACCAACCCTAACCCTAGCACCAACCAACCCTAACCCTAGCACCAACCAACCCTAACCCTAGCACCAGCTACCAACGTGCCAATGAGGGTAGCACCAACCAACCCTAACCCTAGCACCAACCAACCCTAACCCTAGCACCAGCTACCCCTAACCCTAGCACCAACCAACCCTAACCCTAGCACCAACCAACCCTAACCCTAGCACCAACCAACCCTAACCCTAGCACCAACCAACCCTAACCCTAGCACCAACCAACCCTAACCCTAGCACCAGCTACCCCTAACCCTAGCACCAACCAACCCTAACCCTAGCACCAACCAACCCTAACCCTAGCACCAACCAACCCTAACCCTAGCACCAACCAACCCTAACCCTAGCACCAACCAACCCTAACCCTAGCACCAACCAACCCTAACACTAGCACCAGCTACCCCTAACCCTAGCACCAACCAACCCTAACCCTAGCACCAACCAACCCTAACCCTAGCACCAACCAACCCTAACCCTAGCACCAACCAACCCTAACCCTAGCACCAACCAACCCTAACCCTAGCACCAACCAACCCTAACCCTAGCACCAACCAACCCTAACCCTAGCACCAACCAACCCTAACCCTAGCACCAGCTACCAACGTGCCAATGAGGGTAGCACCAACCAACCCTAACCCTAGCACCAACCAACCCTAACCCTAAAACCAACCAACCCTAACCCTAGCACCAACCAACCCTAACCCTAGCACCAGCTACCAACGTGCCTATGAGGGTAGCACCAACCAACCCTAATCCTAGCACCAACCAACCCTAACCCTAGCACCAGCTACCCCTAACCCTAGCACCAACCAACCCTAACCCTAGCACCAACCAACCCTAACCCTAGCACCAACCAACCCTAACCCTAGCACCAACCAACCCTAACCCTAGCACCAGCTACCCCTAACCCTAGCACCAACCAACCCTAACCCTAGCACCAACCAACCAACCCTAACCCTAGCACCAGCTACCCCTAACCCTAGCACCAACCAACCCTAACCCTAGCACTAACCAACCCTAACCCTAGCACCAACCAACCCTAACCCTAGCACCAGCTACCAACGTGCCAATGAGGGTAGCACCAACCAACCCTAACCCTAGCACCAACCAACCCTAACCCTAGCACCAGCTACCCCTAACCCTAGCACCAACCAACCCTAACCCTAGCACCAACCAACCCTAACCCTAGCACCAACCAACCCTAACCCTAGCACCAACCAACCCTAACCCTAGCACCAACCAACCCTAACCCTAGCACCAGCTACCCCTAACCCTAGCACCAACCAACCCTAACCCTAGCACCAACCAACCCTAACCCTAGCACCAACCAACCCTAACCCTAGCACCAACCAACCCTAACCCTAGCACCAACCAACCCTAACCCTAGCACCAACCAACCCTAACCCTAACCCTAGCACCAGCTACCCCTAACCCTAGCACCAACCAACCCTAACCCTAGCACCAACCAACCCTAACCCTAGCACCAACCAACCCTAACCCTAGCACCAACCAACCCTAACCCTAGCACCAGCTACCAACGTGCCAATGAGGGTAGCACCAACCAACCCTAACCCTAGCACCAACCAACCCTAACCCTAGCACCAACCAACCCTAACCCAAGCACCAGCTACCAACGTGCCAATGAGGGTAGCACCAACCAACCCTAACCCTAGCACCAACCAACCCTAACCCTAGCACCAACCAACCCTAACCCTAGCACCAACCAACCCTAACCATAGCACAAGCTACCAACGTGCCAATGAGGGTAGCACAAACCAACCCTAACCCTAGCACCAACCAACCCTAACCCTAGCACCAACCAACCCTAACCCTAGCACCAACCAACCCTAACCCTAGCACCAGCTACCCCTAACCCTAGCACCAACCAACCCTAACCCTAGCACCAACCAACCCTAACCCTAGCACCAGCTACCCCTAACCCTAGCACCAACCAACCCTAACCCTAGCACCAGCTACCCCTAACCCTAGCACCAACCAACCCTAACCCTAGCACCAACCAACCCTAACCCTAGCACCAGCTACTAACGTGCCAATGAGGGTATCACCAACCAACCCTAACCCTAGCACCAACCAACCCTAACCCTAGCACCAGCTACCCCTAACCCTAGCACCAACCAACCCTAACCCTAGCACCAACCAACCCTAACCCTAGCACCAGCTACCCCTAACCCTAGCACCAACCAACCCTAACCCTAGCACCAACCAACCCTAACCCTAGCACCAACCAACCCTAACCCTAGCACCAACCAACCCTAACCCTAGCACCAACCAACCCTAACCCTAGCACCAACCAACCCTAACCCTAGCACCAACCAACCCTAACCCTAGCACCAACCAACCCTAACCCTAGCACCAACCAACCCTAACCCTAGCACCAACCAACCCTAACCCTAGCACCAGCTACCCCTAACCCTAGCACCAACCAACCCTAACCCTAGCACCAACTACTAACGTGCCAATGAGGGTAGCACCAACTACTAACGTGCCAATGGCGGATAGCACCAACTACTAACGTGCCAATGAGGGTAGCACCAACTACTAACGTGCCAATGAGGGTAGCACCAACTACTAACGTGCCAATGGCGGATAGCACCAACTACTAACGTGCCAATGAGGGTAGCACCAACTACTAACGTGCCAATGAGGGTAGCACCAACTACTAACGTGCCAATGAGGGTAGCACCAACTACTAACATGCCAATGAGGGTAGCACCAACCAACCCTAACCCTAGCACCAACCAACCCTAACCCTAGCACCAGCTACCCCTAACCCTAGCACCAACCAACCCTAACCCTAGCACCAGCTACTAACGTGCCAATGAGGGTAGCACCAACCAACCCTAACCCTAGCACCAACCAACCCTAACCCTAGCACCAACCAACCCTTACCCTAGCACCAGCTACTAACGTGCCAATGAGGGTAGCACCAACCAACCCTAACCCTAGCACCAACCAACCCTAACCCTAGCACCAACCAACCCTAACCCTAGCACCAACCAACCCTAACCCTAGCACCAACCAACCCTAACCCTAGCACCAACCAACCCTAACCCTAGCACCAACCAACCCTAACCCTAGCACCAACCAACCCTAACCCTAGCACCAACCAACCCTAACCCTAGCACCAACCAACCCTAACCCTAGCACCAACCAACCCTAACCCTAGCACCAGCTACTAACGTGCCAATGAGGGTAGCACCAACCAACCCTAACCCTTGCACCAACCAACCCTAACCCTAGCACCAACCAACCCTAACCCTAGCACCAGCTACCCCTAACCCTAGCACCAACCAACCCTAACCCTAGCACCAACCAACCCTAACCCTAGCACCAACCAACCCTAACCCTAGCACCAACCAACCCTAACCCTAGCACCAACTACCTGTAATGATGGCAGAAAGCTGGATGAAGCTAAGCTCCTTGCTGGTGGCTTTGATGATTCGCGAGTTCCTGTACTTGATGAAACAGCAGACGACACCTAGCGTCGTGATGACGCCAATGATGGAGAACAGGTAGCTGACGTAGAGGAGCACGTCGTCATCGGGGCGACTGAGCTGGGGTTTAATGGGCAGACAAACACGAGACTGGCGAGAAAGGGAAGCAATTTTTTATTTAGACACACAATAATCGAATACATCAAGCAAACAAAAACAATAATCGAACACATCAAGCAAACAAAAACAATAATCGAACACAACAAGCAAACAAAAACAATAATCGAATACATCAAGCAAACAAAAACAATAATCGAATACATCAAGCAAACAAAAACAATAATCGAATACATCAAGCAAACAAAAACAATAATCGAATACATCAAGCAAACAAAAACAATAATCGAATACATCAAGCAAACAAAAACAATGATCGAATACATCAAGCAAACAAAAACAATTATCGAATACATCAAGCAAATAAAAACAATAATCGAATACATCAAGCAAACAAAAACAATAATCGAATACATCAAGCACACAAAAACAATAATCGAATACATCAAGCAAACAAAAACAATAATCGAATACATCAAGCACACAAAAACAATAATCGAATACATCAAGCAAACAAAAACAATAATCGAATACATCAAGCAAACAAAAACAATAAGCGAACACATCAAGCTAACAAAAACAACCAGTGGCGTAGTCAGGATCATCTCATCGCATGAGGAGGTGGGATTTATGTTGGTTCTATCTAGATATTGATCTAGATCTAGATATTCTAGATCATCTAGATCTAGAGATTCTAGATCATATAGATCCAGGGGCGTAGCGAGGGGGGGGGGGGCGGGGGGTGCGGACAGCACCGGGTGACACCATTTAGGGGGGTGACACCAAGGCAAAAAATAGCAAAATATATAGAGAAAAACTCGAGGGGGGGGGGTGCAAATCGAAAGTTTGAGGGGGGGGGGGGTGCAAATCGAAAACTCGAGGGGGGGGGGGTGCAAATCGAAAGTTTGAGGGGGGTGCAAATCGAAAATTTGAAAGTTTGTCCCTGGGAAGGGTCTCTATGCCTCTGGGGGGGTGACACCATTAAGTGCCGCACCGGGTGACACCCGACCTCGCTACGCCACTGTATAGATCTAGAGATTTTTGGCCCATATCTCGGCAACCAGACCACTTAGCGACTTGAAACATTTACCAATCGATTCCTGCCATAATTTAGAACAATATTGCCGAAGAAAGTTTTCAAAAATATCCTTTCGTTCGGTCACAAAAATTTTTTTTTAATTAATTAAAATTTGGACCGAATTAGTAGGCATGTTTATCCAACCACACCACACGCGTCATCACGTTCAATAGCTGCGCCATCACGTTCAATGACTGCGTCATCACGTTCAGTAGCTAGGCGCGCAATGGTTTTTAGTCATGTAACTCTATTGTAAATAAAACATGTAAAATACTGAAAAAAAAATTCATAAAAAACGTTTTAATAACTAACCAATGGTTTTACTAACCCTGCTCTTGATTTACGCTACGACAGAGCTATTTTTAGATAACATAAGGAAATTGCGCTAAAATTGTCACTAGACTTTTTAATTACCTTGTTTTATTTATGCACCTATAGCAATCAAATTTAAACTGCTTATATTTCAGTATATATTTAAATTTTTGTCACGACAACTTTTTGATAATTACTAGTATGAGTTTTACAAGGTCTAAAAAATCGTACCATTTTTAGTGTTCAATAATTTCAAAATGTGCATATTGAGAAAAACAGCCAAAAGTAACGAAAACTAGGTCAGGAAAGTGCCATATATGTGAAAACTGCAAAGCAGATTGTAAGCTTTCGGTGCTTCCGAGATGTAGGAAATTAAGTTTACTAAATACATGAGAAATCCAGCTTTCCAAAGATGTCAAATACAATATAATGACGGATATAAAACTTTTCATAGAGAGCTTGTAAGATTGGGAAAAAAAAATGATTATTTTTTAATTAATAGGGTCATAAAAATCGTAATTCAAACACATAAAATATTTTATTCTCTTTAAAGTTATTATTTTCTTTATACAAAAATGGACAAAGTATCCAAAAGTGCAAGAAACCCATCATGACGAAAAACAAGAAATTTTGTGATTTTTTCCCGCGCATATCCCCTTAAGATACATGTTTTAATGGTTCCACGACAAATGATCTCAGACAAAATATCTCACGGACAAATGATCTCAGGACAAATGATCTCAGACAAAATATCTCAGATAAAATATCTCACGGACAAATGATCTCAGTACAAATGATCTCAAGGACAAATGATCTCAAGGACAAAAGATACCAGGACAAAATATATCAGGACAAATGATATCATGGACAAATGATCTCAGACAAAATATCTCAGACAAAATATCTCACAGCAAAATGTTGATAGTATGTGCAATGATTTTAGTTCATTTGAAAAATTTTTTAAATTGACTGTCAATATGGTTTTGTTTACTTTCTTTACGCGTCATAATTGTGAATAAAATGAATTTGTTAAACTTAACAAACCATCAAAAGATTTATTTAACTCAATCTTTGTAATGGCCTTTGATTTGAAAAAATAAAAATGAAAACAAATTTTCTCCTTTAGCCTGAAAGGTACGATAAATGATAATGTATAAAACAAAGTAACGGTAGCTATACAACAATAATGTTTAAAACATGCGAAATATCTTTCAAAAATATTAATGGGTCTCTAGGTTCGTAACGTAAAATTATTGTTTTTATTGCACGATCAACACAAACATAACGTTTACGTTTCTTTGCTGACAGTACATCGTTATGATCACACCTCTCCAATACTATGTGATCATGTATTGTGTGAAATCTTGCTCGACATGTTCTAACTCCGCGATGACCGCTGTTTGTCTTAAATAAGCATTAGTCACCTGATCACTAAGGTGTGACCGACGCATAATTATTGAATTTAGCTATTAGTTGTATTGTTCATGGAGGGCGGATGTCTTTCCCTTAAGGCTTGTCTCTACCATCAAAGCGGGCTGCCACCTTGATACGAAGGTGTTTCTCTATTGTTATTTCATCATCTTTGATCTAGTTTCGTCCACCTGACATGGTTGGATTGTCTCATGTTTGGCAAGCCCGCCTACGCTGTCTATCGAACAATTTCTTTAATTTTCTATAGTAATAATCCTAATTTTAAAATGCAATATACAATTTTAAAAGTGCAATATGATAAATTTATACGGCAAACATTTCTTACAATTATCATATGCGCCTATAAACAATATTAAACATATTAAACAAAACCATACGACAGTTAATAAAAATTGTTCAGATCAACTAAAGTCACAATACACTATTAAAATTTAGGTGTGAGGTATTTTGTCTGAGATATTTTGTCTGAGATCAATTGTCCGTGGTATCATTTGTCCTGATATATTTTGTCCTGGTATCTTTTGTCCTTGAGATAATTTGTCCTTGAGATCATTTGTCCTGAGATCATTTGTCCTGAGATCATTTGTCCGTGAGATATTTTGTCTGAGATATTTTGTCTGAGATCATTTGTCCTGAGATCATTTGTCCTGAGATCATTTGTCCTGTCACCGTTTTAATATATAATGGAATGCTAAATTTCTTCATTTTCTCCTTTAAAAAAATCCTAAAATTTGATTGAAAATTAATTACTTTGAGAAGTTACCTCCCTTGTAAAAGATGGAATGACGTAGTCTTTGTTTTCTTTTTTCACCAAAGAGTTGCTATGTTTATATAAGGAAAATGGCATCTGGTCAGTTCTAACGGCCAGAGGGGGGTTTACGACGGACAGAAAGTTTTCTTTTTTGTTACCCCCCCCCCCCCCCCCCCCCCGGGTTGTTGTATGACGTCGCTGTGCGGCCTTGGAGGTCGTCAAACAAAAATTTGTTTTCGATGTGTATCAAAGGAGAATTTCACTGGCGGTCATTGTTTAGTCCTCATCGATGTCTTAGAGTCTCACCATCAGTTTTCCCTAACCCTAACCCATAAGGCCTAGCCATAACCCTAACCCTAACCCATAAGGCCTAGCCATAACCCTAACCCTAACCCATGCTGCCTAGCCATCTATCGAGGTGCATGCCAAAAATTAGCCAGATGTACAGATAGTAGGTACCCTAGGGTTAGGGTTAGCTACAGATAGTAGGTACCCTAGGGTTAGGGTTAGGGTTAGGGTTAGCTACAGATAGTAGGTACCCTCAAATCTTTTAAAAAATTACCCTTTAAGTTTCACATAAATTACAAACATTGTCTAGGGAAATACGACTGGTCAGTTTTGACCGCTTCACTGAATATTTTCACAGATAGGAACTTTACAGATCAGTACAGGGGTGGTGGTGGGAGGTGGGGGGGGGGGGGGTTCAACTTCATTCACCACTCTCCGGTCACTTAAGTTCTATTATCTTACCCAGCGTAAACCTAAGTGTGACATTAATGTTGCACTACATAGCGTCGTTTTTAGATGACTCTTCTAAACATACATATACAATCATACATTTATACTGATTGAAGAATATATTTAAATGAGTTACAGTGGTTTTATAACTATAATGGACATAGACGTCCATGGGGGGGGGGGATTAAATCCCCAGACCCTAACTGGGAGTGGGGATTAAATCACCAGCCCCTAACTGGGAGTGGGGATTAAATCCCCAGACCCTAACTGGGAGTGGGGATTAAATCCCCAGCCCCTAACTGGGAGTGGGGATTAAATCCCCAGACCCTAACTGGGAGTGGGGATTAAATCCCCAGACCCTAACTGGGAGTGGGGATTAAATCCCCAGCCCCTAACTGGGAGTGGGGATTAAATCCCCAGCCCCTAACTGGGAGTGGGGATTAAATCCCCAGCCCCTAACTGGGAGTGGGGATTAAATCCCCAGCCCCTAACTGGGAGTGGGGATTTAATCCCCAACCCTTAACTGAGAGTGGGGATTAAATCCCCAGCCCCTAACTCCCTCGGCTTAAGCCACTGCACACAACAATCTAATACATCGGTCAGAAATTAATGACCTCATTTACATAGTTGATAGCTTTCACAGTCCAGCTTGTCATGGTTTAACTGACGTTTAACTGATGTTTAACCGATGTTTAACTGATGTTTAACTGAAGCGCATACCGTCGAGTCCGGCCAGTAGAATGCTGGACACACTTCGCAGGTCGCATTCTCCACGTCCAAAATCTCGTTGTCCAGACAGGAAAGACAATTCCAGCAGCATTGTGATAACACAATCTTCAGCGCCCCTGTATCAAAGGTGAGCAGCATTCGATAAAGATGGCTACATCTCATCTGCCTTACATTCTGTACTACACCTCAACTTACCTGCATTACATTCTGTACTAAACCTCAACTTACCTGCATTACATTCTGTACTAAACTTCAACTTACCTGCATTACATTCTGTACTAAACTTCAACTTACCTGCATTACATTCTGTACTAAACCTCAACTTACCTGCATTACATTCTGTACTAAACTTCAACTTACCTGCATTACATTCTGTACTAAACTTCAACTTACCTGCATTACATTCTGTACTACACCTCAACTTACCTGCATTACATTCTGTACTAAACCTCAACTTACCTGCATTACATTCTGTAGTAAACTTCAACTTACCTGCATTACATTCTGTACTAAACCTCAACTTACCTGCATTACATTCTGTACTAAACCTTAACTTACCTGCATTACATTCTGTACTACACCTCAACTTACCTGCCTTACATGCTGGGCTACACCTTGACGACAATCGACCGTTGACAAGGTTATCAAAGTAATGAAACGAAATACCCTCCAGTCCTGACAGGACTCCGTTTTCAAACTGGGCAACATATTTATATCCAAAACTTTCATTCTTTTTGTCGGGTATAATCTGAAACAAAGAGTGTTGGGCCTCTACTTGTTTTTGGGTCTCTATGTATGTTTGTCCAGTTGTATTTATTCACATATATATATACATATATATATATATATATATATATATATATATATATATATATATATATATATATATATATATATATATATATATATATATATATATATATATATATATATATAATTAGATGTATGTATGTATGTCTGTCCATATGTAACACCCGTATGGCCAAATGATTTTTTTCTATCAACTTTCATTGCTTTGTTAAACTTTTTGAGGTTGTGATTTCTTTGTTAAACTTGTATAAGGTCGTCATTGCTTTGTTCGACTTTATGAGGTCGTGATTTCTTTGTTAAAGTTGTAAAAGGTCGTCATTGCTTTGTTAAACTTTATGAGGTCGTCATTGCTTTGTTAAACTTTATGAGGTCGTGATTGCTTTGTTAAACTTGTATGATGTCGCGATTGCTTAAATTTCAACTGGCGTTATGTTCGTGTGACGTGAACTTCAAAGTGTTAGTGGCGGTTGTAAAACGTCTTACTTTTGGAATGTTTATATTTATTGTGTTTCACATTCTTTTTTTACTCTCAACAGACGTTTTGGCACTAGTTCTGATAAGTATGATGTATATTCGTCGTCAGCTGCCATTGTTAACTGGATATTAAATTCTAGTTCAATTTCTAGTTAACATCACACCTCCCAGATATTACTGATGACCGGGATGACAGTAAGAAAGTTTTGTTGAATAGAGAAAAAGCTAAATCAGAATGATAGCTAACATTTATTCAGTAAAAGAAATCCATCAACAAAAGAAAGATGGTGGGCACATTGTATTGTTTTTGTAAATGTAAAAATGTAAACAAAGTAAAATTTTATTAAACAAATATAAAAATGTAAACAAAGTATTTTTTTTAAACAAATGTAAAAATGTAAACAAAGTAAAATTTTATTAAACAAACTAGCCGTCCCGGCCAGGCCCTGCTCTGGTTTTTGTGAAAAACCTTTCTGTTAAAGACCATTACTTGTGTGTTTAGTAATCATCATAAACCCGGCATTGCCCACCCAAACCACAACCAACCAAAACAACAAAACGGAAACAACGCTAACACAATTACAAATACAAACGAAAACAAAAACCTAACAACAAACCCAACCACAATCACAAACACTAATACAAACACAAAGAAAAAACAAACAAAAAAGCAAACGAAAACAAAAAACTAACAACAAACCCAACCACAACCACAAACACCAATACCAACACAAAAAAACAACGAAAAAGCAAACGAAAACAAACCAAATCCAAACGCAAAACCAACCAAAAACACAAATACAAACCCAAAGAAAAAAACACAAACAAAAACGAAAAAAGAAAGAACAAAAACGAACCAAATCAAAACGCAACCACTAACGCAAACCTACCTAAACACAAAGAAAACACTACCGCGAACATAAACGCCCGGGGCGGAATCACCTGTTTTTGCTTAATGAACGACTATAGTACCCCAACTTATTCATAGTCTTTTGCACTCACGTAAACGAACGCGCCTGTTTCAATTTAATGAACAATTATAATACTCCAAGCTTATCCGTAAAATACCTACAACATTTGCACTTGATCAATCCCCGCTAATTATGTAATTTTTTTTCCCAACACCAAAATAAAGTAATAAAAAGTAAATTCTTTTCCACTAATGCAATGGTTTTATAAAGGGAAGTAATTGTGTTTTCCTAATTTATCAAAGGGAAGTAAGTGCTATAGGACTAAATAAAGACATAATTAGAATTTTTGTAAAAGATGATATTTTTTTAAAACTTGTGTTTAATGAACATGCCGACAATTATTACTATAATTTGAAAAATGAAAATTTTTTCCCAACACTTTCAAAGGTAATTTTTTAACTCATAAATTTAGACAAATGCGCACGATAATTGTCTAACACTTAAATCCATCCAAGACCAACGACAAACATATGCGTTACATACAGAACTGAGCTTTATATATTAGATGTAAAAATGTATGACGTAGGGTAAACCTGACATTGATAGGGTTTATACTGACTTGTCTTGAATCATAACAGACATGGCTACAAGATGGCCTATGTTGTAGCCACTAGCATCATGGCTACAAGATGGCCTATGTTGTAGCCACTAGTATCATGGCTACAAGATGGCCTATGTTGTAGCCACTAGCATCATGGCTACAAGATGGCCTATGTTGTAGCCACTAGCATTATGGCTACAAGATGGCCTATGTTGTAGCCACTAGCATCATGGCTACAAGATGGCTGCTAGCCTATGTTGTAGCCACTGGCTACATCCCCACCCCGAGAAGCTGCCCCAGGCTACGTCACAACCCTTGATTCCGTCTGTTCTCACTAAGAGCTTCCGTACATTACTTCAAGAATATTCCAGAAAGTTTTGGGGAAATCACTCCCACTTTATTCTCTAGGATACAGCTTTGCCTAAATTGTGTTAATTTATATACAATTTTTCCCAAGAATAAAACTATCAGTAACTGAAAATATATTCAAACAAAACCAATAAAACAAAACACAAACAAAACAAAATTAAAAAAACAAAAACAAAACAACAATTTCATCCAGTCTATTCTCATTGTATTCTATTATGTAAAAGTATTTATTACTCCACATGCTAAAAGGCAGAGTTACTACTATGTATTGAATATTTAATAGCTATTTTGTATGAAATCTTTCTTTATTCATTAGTAGAGGCCAAGGTGGGAACAAAGCCTCCCTGTTCACCATTATAGGACAACTATTAGTCGTCTAGTGTTGCGTTGTTGTTTGAGGTGCGTTGTTGTAGTATTTTTTGTGTGCTTTATTAATGAGCTATAATGTTGTTGTGTTTTTTTTTTGTTTTTTTTAATTTGTTGTTGTATTTTTGTTGTATTGTGTAGTAAATTTGTTGTGTTATGTTGTTATGGTGTATTGCTCTAGTGTATTGTTGTCTGATGTTGTTTTGGTGTATTGCTCTAGTGTATTGTTGTGTTATGTTGTTATGGTGTAATGTTGTGTTATGTTGTCATGGTGTATTGCAGTGTTATGTTGTCATGGTGTATTGTTCTAGTGTATTGTTGTGTTATGTTGTTATGGTGTATTGCTCTAGTGTAGTGTTGTGTTATGTTGTTATGGTGTATTGCTCTAGTGTAGTGTTGTGTTATGTTGTCATGGTGTATTGCTGTGTTATGTTGTCATGGTGTATTGTTGTGTTATGTTGTTATGGTGTATTGCTCTAGTGTATTGTTGTGTTATGTTGTTATGGTGTATTGTTGTGTTGTTGTCATGGTGTATTGTTGTGTTTTGTTGTCATGGTGTATTGTTGTGTTATGTTGTCATGGTGTATTGTTGTGTTTTGTTGTCATGGTGTATTGTTGTGTTATGTTGTCATGGTGTATTGCTCTAGTGTATTGTTGTGTTATGTTGTTATGGTGTATTGCTCTAGTGTATTGTTGTGTTATGTTGTTATGGTGTATTGCTCTAGTGTATTGTTGTGTTTTGTTGTTATGGTGTATTGTTGTGTTATGTTGTCATGGTGTATTGCTCTAGTGTATTGTTGTGTTTTGTTGTTATGGTATATTTTGTGTTATGTTGTTATGGTGTATTGTTGTGTTTTGTTGTTATGGTGTATTGTTGTGTTATGTTGTCATGGTGTATTATTGTGTTTTGTTGTTATGGTGTATTGTTGTGTTATGTTGTCATGGTGTATTGCTCTAGTGTATTGTTGTGTTTTGTTGTTATGGTATATTTTGTGTTATGTTGTTATGGTGTATTGTTGTGTTTTGTTGTTATGGTGTATTGTTGTGTTATGTTGTCATGGTGTATTGCTCTAGTGTATTGTTGTGTTATGTTGTCATGGTGTATTGCTCTAGTGTATTGTTGTGTGATGTTGTTTTGGTGTATTGCTCTAGTGTATTGTTGTGTTGTGTTGTTATGGTGTATTGCTCTAGTGTATTGTTGTGTTTTGTTGTTATGGTGTATTGTTGTGTTATGTTGTCATGGTGTATTGCTCTAGTGTATTGTTGTGTTTTGTTGTTATGGTGTATTGTTGTGTTTTGTTGTTATGGTGTATTGTTGTGTTTTGTTGTTATGGTGTATTGTTGTGTTATGTTGTCATGGTGTATTGTTGTGTTTTGTTGTTATGGTGTATTGTTGTGTTATGTTGTTATGGTGTATTGCTCTAGTGTATTGTTGTGTTATGTTGTCATGGTGTATTGTTGTGTTTTGTTGTTATGGTGTATTGTTGTGTTATGTTGTCATGGTGTATTGCTCGAGTGTATTGTTGTGTTATGTTGTCATGGTGTATTGCTTTAGTGTATTGTTGTGTTAAATAAAAGTTTATGGTGTATCGTTGTGTTTTGTTGTTATGGTGTATTGTTGTGTTATGTTGTTATGGTGTATTGTTGTGTTATGTTGTCATGGTGTATTGTTGTGTTTTGTTGTTATGGTGTATTGTTGTGTTATGTTGTCATGGTGTATTGCTCTAGTGTATTGTTGTGTTATGTTGTTATGGTGTATTGCTCTAGTGTATTGTTGTCATGGTGTGTTGCTCTAGTGTATTGTTGTGTTATGTTGTCATGGTGTATTGCTTTAGTGTATTGTTGTGTTATGTTGTCATGGTGTGTTGCTCTAGTGTATTGTTGTATTATGTTGTCATGGTGTATTGCTTTAGTGTATTGTTGTGTTATGTTGTCATGGTGTGTTGCTCTAGTGTATTGTTGTATTATGTTGTCATGGTGTATTGCTCTAGTGTATTGTTGTGTTATGTTGTTATGGTGTATTGTTCTAGTGTATTGTTGGGATTTGACGTCTGTCTGCACTCAGCGTATTTTATCTCCAGGTGTTTAGGTTCCACTTACCTGTTCAAACTCTATCACACCTTCAGCACTTCCGGTTTCTGTAAACTTGAAGTGGCCACGTGGTCCGAAGAAATGGTTAGTTAACATGACCTGTCGAGAATATAGGACAAACTGTACAGTACACAAACTTGTACAATAGTTTCAGTACACAAACTTGTACAACAGTTTCAGTACACAAACTTGTACAACAGTTTCAGTACACAAACTTGTACAACAGTTTCAGTACACAAACTTGTACAACAGTTTCAGTACACAAACTTGTACAATAGTTTCAGTACACAAACTTGTACAACAGTTTCAGTACACAAACTTGTACAACAGTTTCAGTACAAAAACTTGTACAATAGTTTCAGTACACAAACTTGTACAACAGTTTCAGTACACAAACTTGTACAACAGTTTCAGTACACAAACTTGTACAATAGTTTCAGTACACAAACTTGTACAATAGTTTCAGTACACAAACTTGTACAACAGTTTCAGTACACAAACTTGTACAACAGTTTCAGTACACAAACTTGTACAACAGTTTCAGTACACAAACTTGTACAATAGTTTCAGTACACAAACTTGTACAACAGTTTCAGTACACAAACTTGTACAACAGTTTCAGTACACAAACTTGTACAACAGTTTCAGTACACAAACTTGTACAATAGTTTCAGTACACAAACTTGTACAATAGTTTCAGTACACAAACTTGTACAATAGTTTCAGTACACAAACTTGTACAATAGTTTCAGTACACAAACTTGTACAACAGTTTCAGTACACAAACTTGTACAACAGTTTCAGTACACAAACTTGTACAACAGTTTCAGTACACAAACTTGTACAACAGTTTCAGTACACAAACTTGTACACTAGTTTCAGTACACAAACTTGTACACTAGTTTCAGTACACAAACTTGTACAATAGTTTCAGTACACAAACTTGTACAACAGTTTCAGTACACAAACTTGTACAATAGTTTCAGTACACAAACTTGTACAATAGTTTCAGTACACAAACTTGTACAACAGTTTCAGTACACAAACTTGTACAACAGTTTCAGTACACAAACTTGTACAATAGTTTCAGTACACAAACTTGTACAATAGTTTCATTACCTAAACCTCCTGAGGCCGGATGATTTAAAGAGTAAATAAACTTGGCTTTAGACCTAACCCTAATCGTAATCCTAACCCTAACCCTAATCTTATCTTTAAAATATCTCAGTTGATTTAAAGTTATTCATTCAAAATTTTTGTTGCATTTTAATACATTAATTCAAGTTTGACTTATTTGAATTCCTCGACGAACTGTAACAAAGTCTGGGCCGGCTAGGCGTCGCGCATGCCATTAAAAGTTAAACACTTAAAACGGCATATATGGATGTGTTAATATAGGTATATACTAGCACTGGCCTCTGTAAAGGACCATGACTTGTGGGTTTATTAAGTAGCCTATACCCGCCATTGCCCGGGTTTAGGAAATATATTACTTTCCGAACTAACCTTAACCACAACCAACAAAACGAAAACACAAAATAAAAAACGCAAACATAACATAAACACAAATACAAACATAAACGCAAACACAAACCCAACAACTAATGCAAACAAAAAAAGCAAAGAAAACACAAACGCAAATAAAAAAATAAACAAAAACAAACCCAAATACAAATACAAACCCAAACCTAAACGCAAATACAAAAAAAAAATAAACGCAAAGAAAACACAAACGCAAACAAAAAATCAAACACAAACGCAAATACAAATAGAAACACAACCGCAAACCTAAACGCAAACAATAACTCAAAATAATGCAAATAAACGCATATATAAACACAATCTTAAATGCAAACATAAACGCAAAATGCTCACAGTTTAGCCCGGGGCGCCGGCGGAATCGTCTGATTCATCTTAGTAAACGACTATAGTACCCCAACTTATGCATAGTCTTTTGCACGGTGGCCGGAAAGAACCGCAACGGAAAAAAGCGCAACGGAAAAAAGCGCAAAACAAAAAGCGCAACGGAAATAAGCGCACACGGAAAAAAGCGCAAAGAGAAAAAAGCGCACACGGAAAAAAGCGCAAAGAGAAAAAAGCGCAAAGAGAAAAAAGCGCAAAAAGAAAAAAGCGCACACAGAAAAAAAGCGCAAACAGAAAAAAGCGCACACGGAAAAAAGCTCAAACAGAAAAAAGCGCACACGGAAAAAAGCGCAAAGAGAAAAAAGCGCACACAGAAAAAAGCGCAAAAAGAAAAAAGCGCACACAGAAAAAAGCGCAAACAGAAAAAGGCGCAAACGGAAAAAAGCGCAAACAGAAAAAAGCGCAAACGGAAAAAAGCGCAAACAGAAAAAAGCGCACACAGAAAAAAGCGCAAACAGAAAAAAGCGCAAACGGAAAAAAGCGCAAACAGAAAAAAGCGCAAACGGAAAAAAGCGCAAACAGAAAAAAGCGCACACAGAAAAAAGCGCAAACAGAAAAAAGCTCAAACGGAAAAAAGCGCAAACAGAAAAAAGCGCACACAGAAAAAAGCGCAAACGGAAAAAAGCGCAAACACAAAAATGCGCAACCAGAAAAAACAACGAAAAATGTGCAAAAGAGAAATTTAGCACAAATACCTATATCGACTTGATGACACATTTATACATGACTGTTAGGGATGCTGTAAGAGTTTCGTGTTTGATCACGTGATTTACTACCATTTAAAGCGTACCACTACCATGTGAGTATCTCTCACATTCTCCCTAGTCCGAACTACCTAGCTTGCATACCATAACTACCCGTTCCTATGGCAAAACTTCACTCTCTTTCATCCGCGTCATCTAACATGCATTCGTCATATCTCTCATATCTCTCGCAACAACATTCATTCGCACCAAAATAACAATTATGTATTTAATATTATTTCACATCATGACGCACTTACCTACCTACCTACTACCTACTACCTACCTACCTACCCACCTACACACTTACCCACCTACCCTCCTACACACCTACCTACCTACCTACCCACCTACCCACTTACCCACCTACCCACCTACCCACTTACCCACCTACCCACTTACCCACCTACCCACCTACCCGCCTACCCACTTACCCACCTACCCACCGAAAAAGGATCGGCGAAGTTCGTTAGTTTCGTAATCTGTACATTTTTTAAATGAAAATTCATTGACATCATTGACATATGTTACATATATGTTACATTTTGCGACAATCTTAATTAGTGCGTTGGGCTTGTATGAAAAATCACTTCGAACTAACTCAATTACATGCTATTTATTTTAACATTACACGGTAAGCGTCACCCAACAGTTGTGATGTGAGGTGAGGACAGGTTCGACAATAAACCAACACGAAAGTACGAAAGAGACATAGACTGCCTGTTAGAGAATGGACCCCCTAACTTTCCTAACCCCACCATTTATTATACCCTACCTAACCTCTAAATTTCTTGCGCTATATGTAACTTCCCTCCCAATCGTTCCTATTCTACAGAATTGTGTGTACTATATATTTACATTCTTTAATCTCAATATAACTAAAATAGACTATTGTTTGAAGGGTAATGAAAACATGTAAACATACACTTTTACTAGTGTCCGCCCCCCCTCCCCCCGAAAAAAGTTGACGCCCCCCCCCCCCCCGAAAATCCCCTTCCCTCCCTTCCCCCCCCCCCCCTTAGCCCCGGAGAAAAAAGTCTGGATGAAACACTGCATGTAGCCTATATAACAGAAGAGCTATGGTTGTTTATATCATTTTGCGAATGAATGTTGTTGCGAGAAATATGACGAATGCATGTTTAATGACGCGGATGAAAGAGAATGAAGTTTTGCCATACGAACGGGTAGTTATGGTATGCAAGCTAGGTAGTTCGGACTAGGGAGAATGTGAGAGATACTTCGTGTAATGTCGATATCAAGGATAGTTTTATGTTTATTTATACGAGAATAGTAGTTGAATAATTTTTGACCAAGAAAATAGTAGGCATTGTGTAAAGCGATTATCGCCTGTATCGTGGTGAGGGGAATTCACATGGTAGTGGTACGCTTTAAATGGTAGTAGATCACGTGATCAAACACGACACTCTTACAGCAGCCCTAACAGTCATGCATAAATGTGTCATCAAGTCGATATAGGTATTTGTGCTAAATTTCTCTTTTGCACATTTTTCGTTGTTTTTTCTGGTTGCGCATTTTTGTGTTTGCGCTTTTTTCCGTTTGCGCTTTTTTCTGTGTGCGCTTTTTTCTGCTTGCGCTTTTTTCCGTTTGCGCTTTTTTCTGTTTGCGCTTTTTTCTGTGTGCGCTTTTTTCTGTTTGCGCTTTTTTCCGTTTGCGCTTTTTTCTGTTTGCGCTTTTTTCCGTTTGCGCTTTTTTCCGTTTGCGCTTTTTTCTGTGTGCGCTTTTTTTCTGTTTGCGCTTTTTTCCGTTTGCGCTTTTTTCTGTTTGCGGTTTTTTCTGTGTGCGCTTTTTTCTTTTTGCGCTTTTTTCTGTGTGCGCTTTTTTCTCTTTGCGCTTTTTTCCGTGTGCGCTTTTTTCTGTTTGCGCTTTTTTCCGTGTGCGTTTTTTTCTGTTTGCGCTTTTTTCTGTGTGCGCTTTTTTCTTTTTGCGCTTTTTTCTCTTTGCGCTTTTTTCTCTTTGCGCTTTTTTTCCGTGTGCGCTTTTTTCTCTTTGCGCTTTTTTCCGTGTGCGCTTATTTCCGTTGCGCTTTTTGTTTGGCGCTTTTTTCCGTTGCGCTTTTTTCCGTTGCGCTTCTTTCTGGGAACCCTTTTGCACTCACTTAAACGAACGTAGGCGCCATAGCTAACACGGGAAGGCCCTAGGCGCTAAATAGCACCATGTTTGAGTGTCGGAGTGCGTCCTGAATTCGATTTAGTGAAGGACTATAGTAACCTTTCTTATCCATAGTCTATCGCACTGTTTAAAACGAAATTACACAGACACGCGCTGATAGGATAACCCAGGGCGCCAAATCGAACCCTGCAGGGGCGCCGGCGGACGCGCCTGATTTAATTTAGTGAACGACTTTAATACCCCAAGCTTATCCGCAAACGGAAAGATAGAAGTAAACATAGAGGTTATTTAGGATATGGATTCTAAACTGTTTTTGATTTTTAAAAAATAGTAAACAGTACGTTCAGTGTATAAATTAAATAAAAGGCGGTATTTGAGATATGTATTTTACCTACCACATTTCACTTCATCAATCCACGCTATTTATGTAATTATGTATTTCCCGACACCAAAAATAAGGTAATAAAAAGTAATCCCCGATGTAATGTTTATTTTAAAGGGGAGTAATTGTGTTTTCCTAATTTATCCAGAGACGTAATGAGTGCTAAAGGACTAAAAGTAAAAAAATTTCAGACACATTTAGAATTTTTGTGACGGGTAATACATTTTCTTTAATTTTGTTTAATGCACATGCCGTCAATTAACACTATAAATTTGGAAAATGAGATATTTTTATTACACCTTAAATATAAATATTTTTAATCATTAATTTAGATGATTAGCACTTTAGATATATTACACAATGACCATCAAGTCTATTTTGTTTGTTATATTCCTTTGAAATACATACATATAGAATTTAACTTTTAAAAGCCTCTGTCCTATTTTTTAACCAACAAGCTTTAAATTCAATGTATCTTATGTATTCATTTACTTATTTCTTTATTTATTTACTATACTCTGTACATCAATGTAACTACCTTGTAAATATCCATCCAAACGGCGTGTGATGTTACTGTATTTGTTTTGAATTGGAAAATAAAAGTATTCAAAAAAAATAAAAATCCAACATTCTATTGAAAATAAAAATATTGAAGAAAATGAACACATTATTGAAACTGATACTATCAGAGCCTCACACGGTCAAGCCCAACACGGTCAAGCCCAACACGGTCAAGCCCAACACGGTCAAGCCCAACACGGTCAAGCCCAACACGGTCAAGCCCAACACGGTCACCAACACGGTCAAGCCCAACACGGTCAAGCCCAACACGGTCAAGCCCAACACGGTCAAGCCCAACACGCCCAGCCCGAAAAGACAAAACCACGACGAAAGGGAAAACAATTACACTCCCCCCCCCCCCCCCACTGAT